ACAGACGGTATACAGAACACCCCGTTGAAATGTAATTTCCTGCTTGCGTTATTGGCCTACTGATTTTCCCAGAAGTCTGCACTAAGATAAAAATCAGATTGTTGGCATCCCTTGCAAGAAAAACATAATTTTTGGTAGGATACTCCCAAAGGGAAATTACATCTAAAAAGATGCAGACCCTGCTACTTTCTTCATTAGAACCCTGCAAGTGAGCAGCTGATAATTTTAAAAACACTCCCATAAAGATTCACTCTGCTCATGGACACAGACAAACAAACAGCTATTTCTTCAGAACAGCAAAAAGTAGAAATCTGCAACAAAGTTTGTTAAAATTCTTTCAATGTACATAAATCACCCAGAGGAAAATGTTTTTTCTCTCAACAAAAGTGGAGTTACTCTTTAAAGGCTATTACTACTTACGATGAAATGTTAGGGAATAATGAAAGGCAACAGATAGAAATTGACATTTCACACATATTACAAATATTACCGAGATTATTTATGACTTTTGCATGAATGTTGAGACCTTTGCACTGTGAAGTTTTTTCTATAAATATATGTATATTCTGTCAAAAGCTAGAAGATAAACTTATCAAGCTGAATTGCTCAGTACATGTTTGTATAAAATATGTTCTTCAAGAATAAGGCCTGGAGCTACAGTAAATGGCAACATATGACCGGACATAACTAGGTTTGCAAGACAGGCTAGAGTGACGTAGGGTCAATAAAGTAGTTTTGTTTTAAAAAGGGAGAAAATTGCCTTAGTTGATTGGAGGAGGGGTGTGACCGAGAGGGGCTGGGTGGGCTCAGGTGGAGCAAGCGGGGTGGTGCCAGGTTTTCTCAGAGTCAGTCGGAGCTGGTACAGTGTAGAACAAGCTTCTCCCACCCTCCCTCCAGTACGAACTATTGGAGCTCCTGGTTCTCGGTGCTTAATTTGTTTTGCTTTATTTCCTTTCCTTGGTAATAATGTGCTCGGGAAGTTTCCTATTTGGGGGATTGCCTAGCAGTGTTACTAGGTGTTTTGAGCGGATCATCTGTTTTCTCCAGGTTGTTTCATAGCAGTTTTTGGACTGGGACTCAGGGTCTTGGAAGGCGGTGATGGTTTAAATTTTATGGAGAATGATGGGTTGGGCCCATCACAGGTATGGGTGTACCTACCCTAGTAAATTTATGGCAGTAATGGTTCAAGAGTTAGTTGACTGTATCAAGGGTATCTTATAGTAAATTGTCCCTGAGTTGGTGTATTTGCGGCTGGGGGCCTTGAAGTCTATTTTGGTGGTAGATACAGCTGGTTTGTAAATATACAAGTTGCCTTCTAAGACCCTAGACTTTAATGAGGTCAGTTTCTGTAATAACATTATGGTGATTACTGTTCAGAGAGTTAAAAGAAAAGATGTATTTTGGTAACAAAGTTGTAATCTTGTTGTTTAACCACTTGCCTACAGGGCACATATACCCCCTTCCTGCCCAGGCCAATGCTAATTGCGTGGTTATACAACACTGTACCCATGTGAAATTGTTATAATTTTTTTTGAGACAGATAGAGCTTCTTTTGGTGGTATTTAATCACTTCTGGATTTCTTATTTTTTTGCTAAACAAACCAAAAACAACTGAGTTTGAAAAAAACATTTTTTTTTAGTTTTTGTTATAAAATTTTGTAAATAAGTGATTTTTCTCCTTAACTGATGTGCGCTAATGAGGCTGCAGTGATGGGCACTGATAGGCTGCACTGATGGGAACTGATAAGTGGCACTGATGGGCACTGAAGAGGAGGCACTGGTAGGTGGCACTGATAGGCATTGCCAAGCATCACTGATGGGCACTGAAAGGCAACACTGATGGGCGGCACTGATTGGCATCACTGATAGGTGGCACTGACTGGCATTGATAGGTAGCACTGACTGGCACTGATAGGTGACAATGAAAAGCAGCTCAGATGTGCACTAATATGTGGCATTGATGTGCACTGATGGGCACTGGCAGGTGGCATTGACAAGCACTGACAGCTGGCATTGATGGACACTAACATGTGGCTCTGCTGGGGCTACACTGATCATCAGGGTGCACTGATCATCAGTGCCCTGATGATTAGTGTACATGCCCCCTCTGAGTAATGACAATTATTATTATTATACAGGATTTATATAGCGCCAACAGTTTGCTCAGCGCTTTACAATATAAAGGGAGACAATACAGCAACAATTCAGTTCAATACAAGAGGGATAGGAGGGCCCTGCTCATTGGAGCTTACAATCTAGGAGGGAGAGGCTAGTGGTACAAAAGGTAGTAACTGTGGGGGATGGACTGGTAGGAAAAGTGGAAGATTACATTATTAGCTGAAGGCAGGATAGGCTTCCCTGAAGAGATAGGTTTTCAGAGATCGCCTAAAAGTGAGCAGAGTAGGCAATAGTCTGATAAATTGGGGTAGAGAGTTCCAGAGGATGGGGGAAGCTCTGGAGAAGTCCTGGAGATGAGCATGGGAGGAGGAGACAAGGGAGCTAAAGAGCAGGAGGTCTTGTGAGGAGCGGAGAGTACGGTTTGGGTGATATTTAGGGACAAGATTGCTAATGTAATTTGGGGCACAGTTATAAATGTCTTTATATGCTATTGTTAATATTTTGAATTTTATCCGTTGGGCAATGGGAAGCCAGCGGAGAGATTGGCAGAGAGGGGTGGATGATACAGAACAGTTAGTAAGGTGGATGAGTCTGGCAGCAGCATTCATGATAGACTGAAGAGGGGATAGCCTGCGATGAGGTAGGCCAATGAGGAGGGAGTTACAATAGTCAAGGCGAGATATAACAAGGGAGTGAATAAGTTGCTTAGTGGTTTCTGAGGTTAAGAATGGGCGTATGTTGGAGATGTTGCAGAGGTGAAGTCTACAAGATTTGGACAGCGATTGGATTTGGGGCTGAAAGGACAGATGGGAGTCTAGGGTTACACCTAGCACCCTGGCATGAGGGGAGAGACTGATGATTGTGTCATTGATTTTGATGGAGAAGTTAGGGGAGGGGGCACAGGCTGGAGGGAATACTAAGAGCTCAGTTGTGGAAAGATTGAGTTTGAGGAAGTGGAGTGACATCCATGCTGATATGTCGCTTAGGTTAGTAATACGAGAGGAAACTGAAGGGGTAAGGTGAGGGGTAGAAAGATAGATTTGTGTGTCATCAGCATAGAGATGGTACTTAAAGCCATGGGAGTTTATCAAGTGACCAAGGGAGGAGGTGTAGATGGAGAAGAGTAGGGGCCCAAGGATGGAACCGTCAGGGACCCCTACAGAAAGAGTGAAGAGGAGGAGCCAGAGTTATAAGTAACGCTGAAGGAGTGCTGCGATAGGTAGGAGGAGAACCAGGAGAGAGCAGAGTCTCAGAGGCCAAGAGAGTGAAGTTTTTTGAGGAGGAAGGGATGGTCAACCGTATCAAAAGCCGCAGAGAGGTTGAGTATAGAGATGAGCGAATCGAACTAGGCGAAGTGGAATTCGTATCGAATATTAGGAAAATTTCGATTCGCGAAATTAGCAGACTTCGGATGCGCGAATCGAAATTTTTCCTAAAATGGCGGCGACATGTGCGGCGACGGAGCGGGGATGTCTGGGAAGGCGCGCAGACAAGGCGCGCTGACCCATAATGCATTCATTCATGACATGTGATCGCATTAGCCAATCAGCAGCCAGCCAGCCAGCACTGTGTAATGGTCGAGCTATAAATGGCGGCCATTTTAGAATTCTCCATTTGCCTCCAGTCATTCAAGAGAGGCAGAGCTGTCTGTATTGAGGGAGAGAGTTAGGGACACAGAAACGTTACTTAGGGCCAGAGAAACGTTACTTAGGGCCACAGAAACGTTACTTAGGGACAAAGAAACGTTACTTAGGGCCAGAGAAACGTTACCTAGAGACACAGAAACGTTACTTAGGGACACAGAATCGTTACTTAGGGCCACAGAAACGTTACTTAGGGCCACAGAATCGTTACTTAGGGCCACAGAATCGTTACTTAGGGCCACAGAAACGTTACTTAGGGCCACAGAAACGTTACTTAGGGCCACAGAATTGTTACTCACGGACAGACACAGAATTGTTACTCAGGGACAGACACAGAATTGTTACTGAGGGACAGACACAGAATTGTTACTGAGGGACACAGAATTGTTACTGAGGGACACAGAATTGTTACTGAGGGACACAAAATTGTTACTGAGGGACACAGAATTGTTACTCAGGGACACAGAATTGTTACTCAGGGATAGACACAGAATTGTTACTGAGGGACAGACACAGAATTGTTACTGAGGGACACAGAATTGTTACTGAGGGACACAGAATTGTTACTGAGGGACACAGAATTGTTACTGAGGGACACAGAATTGTTACTCAGGGACACAGAATTGTTACTGAGGGACACAGAATTGTTACTACTCAGGGACACAGAATTGTTACTCAGGGACAGACACAGAATTGTTACTGAGGGACACAGAATTGTTACTGAGGGACACAGAATTGTTACTCAGGGACACAGAATTGTTACTCAGGGACAGACACAGAATTGTTACTGAGGGACAGACACAGAATTGTTACTGAGGGACACAGAATTGTTACTGAGGGACACAGAATTGTTACTGAGGGACACAGAATTGTTACTCAGGGACACAGAATTGTTACTGAGGGACACAGAATTGTTACTCAGGGACAGACACAGAATTGTTACTGAGGGACACAGAATTGTTACTCAGGGACACAGAATTGTTACTCAGGGACACAGAATTGTTACTCAGGGACACAGAATTGTTCCTCAGGGACACAGAATTGTTACTCAGGGACAGACACAGAATTGTTACTCAGGGACAGACACAGAATTGTTACTGAGGGACACAGAATTGTTACTCAGGGACACAGAATTGTTACTCAGGGACACAGAATTGTTTCTCAGGGACAGACACAGAATTGTTACTGAGGGACACATAATTGTTACTCAGGGACACAGAATTGTTACTGAGGGACACAGAATTGTTACTCAGGGACACAGAATTGTTACTCAGGGACACAGAATTGTTACTCAGGTACAGACACAGAATTGTTACTCAGGGACAGACACAGAATTGTTACTGAGGGACACAGAATTGTTACTGAGGGTCACAGAATTATTACTCAGGGACAGACACAGAATTGTTACTGAGGGACAGACACAGAATTGTTACTGAGGGACACAGAATTGTTACTGAGGGACACAGAATTGTTACTGAGGGACACACAATTGTTACTGAGGGACACAGAATTGTTACTCAGGGACACAGAATTGTTACTCAGGGACAGACACAGAATTGTTACTGAGGGACAGACACAGAATTGTTACTGAGGGACACAGAATTGTTACTGAGGGACACAGAATTGTTACTGAGGGACACAGAATTGTTACTGAGGGACACAGAATTGTTACTCAGGGACACAGAATTGTTACTGAGGGACACAGAATTGTTACTCAGGGACAGACACAGAATTGTTACTGAGGGACACAGAATTGTTACTGAGGGACACAGAATTGTTACTCAGGGACACAAAATTGTTACTCAGGGACAGACACAGAATTGTTACTGAGGGACAGACACAGAATTGTTACTGAGGGACACAGAATTGTTACTGAGGGACACAGAATTGTTACTGAGGGACACAGAATTGTTACTTTCCGAGAAATGATGGCTTGTGCCGCGCCGCGGTGGAGAGTGCCAAGCCGTCATTTCTTCGCCAAAACGGCAGTGCCAGCCCTGCATTCACATGTAGAAGAGATGGTGGGCCAGTCTTTGAGCATGTCGGTCTCTGCCAAAGTGCACGGCAGCGCCGACGTGTGGAGCTGTAACTATGGTCAGGGACAGTACATGTCATTTACGGCCCACTGGGTGAACGTGGTGCCGGCACAGCCGCACCAGCAACTTGGACAGGTCACGCCGCTTTTGCCTCCACGTTTGCACGTCCTTGGTCCACAAAAGATGTCCGCCTCTACCACCTCTTCTTCCGCCGTGTCCTCAGCCGCCACCCCCGTGCCAAGTCCCATTACCCGACCGGCATATCTCATGTGCAGGGCGCAACGGTGTCACGCTGTGCTGCACCTGGTATGCCTTGGCGAACGTAGTCACACAGGGGAGGAACTTCTCAGTGTAATGAACAGAGAAATCGACAGATGGCTGTCTCCGCGCAAACTGAAAAAACCATGACCGACAACGGAAAGAACTGCGTCAAGGAAGGTTGTGCCATGCGCCATGCATGGCTCACTTGTTCAATCTGGTTGTCAAGCGGTTCCTAAAATCCACCATCCCACTGCAAGACATCCTTAAAATGTCACGTAAACTTTGCATGCATTTCAGCCATTCCTACACCGCAAAGCACACCCTCCTTGAGCTGCAGCGGCAGAACGGAATTCCACAGCATCGCCTGATCTGCGACGTTGCAACAAGGTAGAATTCAACCCTACACATGTTAGACCGCCTTTACGAACAGCGAAAGGCCATCACCGATTTCCTGATGTTACAAGCAGATAAAGGTACTCCCCTGTGTAACTTCGATGTCAGCCATTGGCAGCTCATGCGTGACACCTGCCGCTTGCTCAGGCCCTTTGAGGCCACGCTATTCGTGAGTCGGCAGGACTATGGGATGAACGACGTCATTCCTCTGTTGCACGTCCTGGAACAAATGCTGTTAACAATGGCTGGTCAGGGTGCGGTAGACGTGGCGCACAGATCTCAACGCCACATGACCCCTGTGGGGGCAGGACAGGAAGAAGAGGAGGAGGTAGAGGAGGACATTTGTGCTCAGGAATTATTGAGTGAAATGGGTGGTTTTTTCCACTCAGCGGACAGGAGTGGAGGAGCAGGAGCATCTGGTAGAGGAGGAGGAGGAGGAGGAGACAGAGGACCCAGATGCACCGTGGCAGTATGCTGTGGAGATGGAGGCAGGGAGTCCCTCGCATTCCTTGGCACAAATGGCCCATAGCATGCTCGCTTGCTTGCGTAGCGACAGCCGAATAATAACCATCAGACAGAGGGATGACTTTTGGCTGTCCACCTTGTTGGACCCTCGCTACCGTTCAAAAATGGTGGCCTTTTTCACACCTGCTGAGAGGGAGGCCAAAATAACGTACTATAAAAACCACCTATGTAGTCAGTTGGTCTCTGCCTTTGTGCGCCAACGTCCATCCTCAGACACTGTGGGCCCTGTGCGCTCGCGTTCCGCTGCCATGTCAGCAGGGGAGGGGTGGGGTGGTAGGAGCAGTGGCAGCTCCACCAGCAGCGGCTGCCTCAGTCTGCAGTCGATGATGAGTAGCTTTCTTCACCAGCGCAGTGAGGAAACTACTAACCAGCCACAGCAGCAGCAGCATCAGGTGGACCTGGAGCAGGACCTCAAACAACAGGCTCGGGCCTACTTGGACAGCACCCTGCCAACCGAGGTAGACAATCCCCTTGACTACTGGGCAACGAAACTTGACCTTTGGCCCCAACTAGCTGAATTTGCCCTTGAAAGGCTGTCATGCCCGGCCAGTAACGTGGCATCGGAGCGTGTTTAGTGCGGCAGGAGGTATTGTAACTCCGCGGAGGACACGACTGTCCACCCAAAGTATGGAGAGACTCACGTTTGTGAAAATGAATCAGGCGTGGATTAGTCTGGATTTCAAACCACCAGTTCCTGACACAACTGACTAAATCCGCCATGAATCATGCCCCAAACATGTGCCACTTTCAGGTCTCCTCACACTGCTGGTGTGTTCCATTTGTTGTCATAGGGTGCTGGCAGATTACGGGCCTCCCATTGCTGCTGCCAGGCCCGTAATCTGCCGTGGGCCCCTGTACCGCCTCTTCATGCTGCTGCCAGGTCCAGAGTGTCTCATGGGTCCCTGTATGGCCTCCCATTGCTGCTGTCTCCATCGCCACACTCTGCCATGTGCCACTTTCAGGTCTCCCTCACACACTGCTGGTGTGTTCCATTTTTTGTCATAGGGTGCTGGCAGATTACGGGCCTCCCATTGCTGCTGCCAGGCCCCTAATCTGCCATGGGCCCCTGTACCGCCTCCTCATGCTGCTGCCAGGTCCACAGTGTGTCATGCCATGTGCCACTTTCAGGTCTCTCTCACACTGCTGGTGTGTTCCATTTTTTGTCATAGGGTGCTGGCAGATTACGGGCCTCCCATTGCTGCTGCCAGGCCCGTAATCTGCCGTGGGCCCCTGTACCGCCTCCTCATGCTGCTGCCAGGTCCAGAGTCTCTCATGGGTCCCTGTACGGCCTCCCATTGCTGCTGTCTCCATCGCCACACTCTGCCATGTGCCACTTTCAGGTCTCCTCACACTGCTGGTGTGTTCCATTTTTTGTCATAGGGTGCTGGCAGATTACGGGCCATCCCATTGCTGCTGCCAGGCCTGTAATCTGCCATGGGCCCCTGTACCGCCTCCTCATGCTGCTGCCAGGTCCAGAGTGTGTCATGGGTCCCTGTACGGCCTCCCATTGCTGCTGTCTCCATCGCCACACTCTGCCATGTGCCACTTTCAGGTCTCCTCACACTGCTGGTGTGTTCCATTTTTTGTCATAGGGTGCTGCAGATTACGGGCCTCCCATTGCTGCTGCCAGGCCTGTAATCTGCCATGGGCCCCTGTACCACCTCCTCATGCTGCTGCCAGGTCCAGAGTGTGTCATGGGTCCCTGTACGGCCTCCCATTGCTGCTGTCTCCATCGCCACACTCTGCCATGTGCCACTTTCAGGTCTCCTCACACTGCTGGTGTGTTCCATTTTTTGTCATAGGGTGCTGGCAGATTACGGGCCTCCCATTGCTGCTGCCAGGCCTCAGGTAATCTGCCATGGGCCCCTGTACCGCCTCCTCATGCTGCTGCCAGGTCCAGAGTGTGGGTCCCATCGCCACACTCTGCCATGGGTGCCCTGTCATAGGGTACTGGCAGATTACGGGCCTCCCATTGCTGCTGCCAGGCCCCTAATCTGCCATGGGCCCCTGTACCGCCTCCTCCATGCTGCTGCCACACTCTGCCATGTGCCACTTTCAGGTCTCCTCACACTGCTGGTGTGTTCCATTTTTTGTCATAGAGTGCTGGCAGATTACGGGCCTCCCATTGCTGCTGCCAGGCCCCTAATCTGCCATGGGCCCCTGTACCGCCTCCTCATGCTGCTGCCAGGTCCAGAGTCTCTCATGGGTCCCTGTACGGCCTCCCATTGCTGCTGTCTCCATCGCCACACTCTGCCATGTGCCACTTTCAGGTCTCCTCACACTGCTGGTGTGTTCCATTTTTTGTCATAGGGTGCTGGCAGATTACGGGCCTCCCATTGCTGCTGCCAGGCCCGTAATCTGCCATGGGCCCCCATACCGCCTCCTCATGCTGCTGCCAGGTCCAGAGTCTCTCATGGGTCCCTGTACGGCCTCCCATTGCTGCTGTCTCCATCGCCACACTCTGCCATGTGCCACTTTCAGGTCTCCTCACACTGCTGGTGTGTTCCATTTTTTGTCATAGGGTGCTGGCAGATTACGGGCCTCCCATTGCTGCTGCCAGGCCCCGTAATCTGCCATGGGCCCCGTACCGCCTCCTCATGCTGCTGCCAGGTCCAGAGTCTCTCATGGGTCCCTGTACGGCCTCCCATTGCTGCTGTCTCCATCGCCACACTCTGCCATGTGCCACTTTCAGGTCTCCTCACACTGCTGGTGTGTTCCATTTTTTGTCATAGGGTGCTGGCAGATTACGGGCCTCCCATTGCTGCTGCCAGGCCCCTAATCTGCCATGGGCCCCTGTACCGCCTCCTCATGCTGCTGCCAGGTCCACAGTGTCTCATGGGTCCCTGTACGGCCTCCCATTGCTGCTGTCTCCATCGCCACACTCTGCCATGTGCCACTTTCAGGTCTCCTCACACACTGCTGGTGTGTTCCATTTTTTGTCATAGGGTGCTGGCAGATTACGGGCCTCCCATTGCTGCTGCCAGGCCCGTAATCTGCCATGGGCCCCTCTACCGCCTCCTCATGCTGCTGCCAGGTCCACAGTGTGTCATGCCATGTGCCACTTTCAGGTCTCCTCACACTGCTGGTGTGTTCCATTTTTTGTCATAGAGTGCTGGCAGATTATGGGCCTCCCATTGCTGCTGCCAGGCCCCTAATCTGCCATGGGCCCCTGTACCGCCTCCTCATGCTGCTGCCAGGTCCACAGTGTCTCATGGGTCCCTGTACGGCCTCCCATTGCTGCTGTCTCCATCGCCACACTCTGCCATGTGCCACTTTCAGGTCTCCTCACACTGCTGGTGTGTTCCATTTTTTGTCATAGGGTGCTGGCAGATTACGGGCCTCCCATTGCTGCTGCCAGGCCCGTAATCTGCCATGGGCCCCTGTACCGCCTCCTCATGCTGCTGCCAGGTCCAGAGTCTCTCATGGGTCCCTGTACGGTCTCCCATTGCTGCTGTCTCCATCGCCACACTCTGCCATGTGCCACTTTCAGGTCTCCTCACACTGCTGGTGTGTTCCATTTTTTGTCATAGGGTGCTGGCAGATTACGGGCCTCCCATTGCTGCTGCCAGGCCCCTAATCTGCCATGGGCCCCTGTACCGCCTCCTCCTCCCCATTGCTGCTGCCAGGAGGCAGCAGGGTCGCAGCAGTGTCAGTGGAGGCAAACGACCACGGAGTAGAGCACCAGCTCCACTGCAGCCTACCACCACGGCCAGTAGTGGTGCCGGTGTGCACAGAGGAAGTAGCAGTCAGCCAGTGAGGAGTAGCGGGGGCAAAGTTTCCTACTCGGCGGTGTGGCAATTTTTCGTCAAGCCGCCCGAGGAAGTAAACGAAGCCGTATGTCGACTATGTGGCCAGAAAGTCAAGCGTGGCCAGGGGGCCCATGTTGGGACTACAGCGTTGCGTCAGCATATGCAGCGTCGCCATTTGGTGGCCTGGGAAAACCGTGATAAAGATACGGCGGTTCTGCCTGCCCCAGCCCAGGGTTCCATTTTGTCATAGGGTGCTGGCAGATTACGGGCCTCCCATTTGCTGCTGCCAGGCCTTAATCTGCCATGGGCCCCTGTACCGCCTCCTCATGCTGCTGCCAGGTCCACAGTGTCTCATGGGTCCCTGTACCGCCTCCCATTGCTGCTGTCTCCATCGCCACACTCTGCCATGTGCCACTTTCAGGTCTCCTCACACTGCTGGTGGGTTTCCATTTTGTCATAGGGTGCTGTATGGCCTCCCATTGCTGCTGCCAGGCCCGTAATCTGCCATGGGTCCCCGTACCGACTCCTCATGCTGCTGCCAGGCCCGTAATCTGTCATGGGCCCCTGTTGTCGCTTGTTGGCATATTCCGCTCGTTCAGATGCTCCTTCTCCTGCTACTCCTCTTCACGGATTCCGTCAGCAGTCTTTCTTGGAATCCGTTTCCAAGAGACAACAGTTTGCGAGCACGCACCCGACGGTGCAGAAGCTGAACGTCCTCCTGTCCAAGTTGCTGCTGCCAGGCTCGTAATCTGTCATGCGCCCCTGTACCGTCTCCTCATGCTGCTGCCAGGTCCAGAGTGTGTCATGGGCCCCCGTACCGACTCCTCATGCTGCTGCCAGGCCCGTAATCTGTCATGGGCCCCTGTACCGCCTCCTCATGCCGCTGCCAGGTCCAGAGTGTGTCATGGGTCCCTGTACGGCCTCCCATTGCTGCTGCCAGGCCCGTAATCTGCCATGGGCCCCCGTACTGACTCCTCATGCTGCTGCCAGGCCCGTAATCTGTCATGGGCCCCTGTACCGCCTCCTCATGCTGCTGCCAGGTCCAGAGTGTGTCATGGGTCCCTGTACCGCCTCCCATTGCTGCTGTCTCCATCGCCACACTCTGCCATGTGCCACTTTCAGGTCTCCTCACACTGCTGGTGGGTTCCATTTTGTCATAGGGTGCTGTATGGCCTCCCATTGCTGCTGCCTCCACTGCCACACTGTGGCTCCACACTCTGGTTTTGGCCCCGTGACTGCCCAAATGAGTGAAGTGTGCGGTGATTCTAAGATCGACGGCACTCATCTGCATGTCATACTGACTGACAGTATTATTTCTCTTCCCCAGCAGACTCCAAGGGCATTTAAATTAAAGGTACAGTGTTCTGCACTAATATAAAGGCTCTCTGAAGCCTAGAAACACCCTTTTATAAGTTAAATTCGCAGCGAATATATTCGACTCGAATCAAAATTTTTTCACGAATTCGCCGAATCAGTCGAATCGAATTTTTGAATAATTCGCTCATCTCTAGTTGAGTAGTAAGAGTATGGAGTAGTGGCCATTGGTTTTAGCAGTTAGTAGATCATTAGTGAATTTCAATAGGGCAGTTTCAGTGGAGTATAGTGAGTGAAAGCCAGCAGACTGTAAAGGGTCAAGAAGGTTGTTGTCAGTGAGGTAGGAGCTCAGGCGATTGTAGACTAGGCGTTCTAAGAGTTTAGAGGTAAATGGGAGCAGGGAGATGGGTCTTAAGTTGTTCAGGTTGGTGGGGTCCAGGGAGGGCTTTTTAAGTATGGGAGTGATGTGTGCATGCTTTAGAGGGAAGGGGAAGGCACCGTTAGAGAGGGACAGATTGAAGATGTGAGTGAGGGAGCATAGGACAGAAGAAGAGGGTGACCGTAGTAGTTGTGAGGGGACAGGATCCAGGGGGCAAGTAGTGAGACGGGCTTCTGAGAAAACCTTAGTGACCTCTTCAGGAGCAGCAAGGTCAAAAGAGGAAAGTATTGAGGGAGGTTTAGTATAAAGTATGCTAAGTGGGATGGATGTCTGTGCAGTGGCGATGCCCCTATGAATTGCATCAATCTTGTTTTTGAAACGATTTGCAATCTCTAGAGCAGTGAGTGAGGTACTGGGTGGAGGTGAAGGTGTAGAAAGTAGAGAGTTAAAAGTAGAGAAGAGATGACGAGGACTGGATGATAAGCTATTGATGAGAGTGACAAAGTAGGCTTGTTTGGCAGCATGGAGGGAGGAATTGTATGTTAAGAAAGCAGATTTATATAGGGTGAATGCTTGGTGAGATTTGGTTTTACACCACTATCGCTCCAGCGCACGACTATGTCGTTTAAGATTTCTGGTGTCGTCAGTCTGCCAAGGTTGTAATGGTCGGGGCCTGATGCTTCGTGTTGTTAGAGGAGCAAGTGAGTCTAGTGTGGATGAAAGCAAACTGTTGTAGACAGCAGTGGCCAGGTCAGGGTAGGACAGGGGAGAGATTCTGTCATAGAGTTGGTCAGTTGCAGAGTGGAAAGGAGCAGGGTTCAAGTTGTGAAGGTTTCTGTGGGTAATTGTTTGCTGCTTGGAGGATACGTGTTTGAAGATGAGGACACTGAAGGTGATGAGATTGTGATCAGAGAGAGGAAAGGGGGTGTTTGTGAAGTTGTAGGGAGTGCAAAGATGGGAAAAAACAAGGTCTAATGTATTCCCATCAGAGTGAGTGGAGGACTGTATACATTGTGCTAATGCAAAAGATGAGGTTAGGTTGAAGAGTTGGGATGTAGCCGGGTTGTTGACATTAATGGGGATGTTAAAATCTCCAAGAATGATAGTGGGTAGTTCAAAGGAGAGAAAGTAGGGTAGCCAGGCAGAGAAATCATCAAGAAAGCGTGACACCGGTCCAGGAGGCCGATAGATCACTGCAATCCTCAGAGAAATGGGAGAATACAGCCGAATGCAGTGAGTCTCGAAAGAAGGACAGAGAGGGAGGACTTGAAAAGTGCTAAGTGGGGATAGAAGCAAACCAACCCCTCCTACTTTCCGACCACTGGGTCTGGGTAAGTGGGTCCAGAGAAGGCCTCCATAGGAAAGTGCTGCAGGAGCAGAAGAATCTGCTGCTTGAAGCCAGGTTTCTGTAATTGCTAGTAGGTTAAGGGAGCTGGAGACAAAAAGGTCATGGACAGAGGTGAGCTTACTGCAGACAGAGCAGGCATTCCAGAGTGCACATGAAAAAGGGAGGGTGTTTTTTTGGAGCACGGGGATTGATATTAAATTGAGGGGATTGCGGCTATTTCTGGAGGAAAGAGGATGGCTGGTGTGGGGGTGAGATACTGGAGGACCAGGGTTTGGGGTGATATCCCCAGAGGTTAGGAGAAGAAGAAGGGTGAGGAAAGTAACATGGGAGCAGGATGTACACGAGTGTAAATGCCTTCCTGTCCTGGTGTTTGGGTCAGCAGGTGAGTGAAGTATCAGCAGGAGGTGATGAGAGCAGTAGTAGGGAGATGGTAACAGTGAGGGTGAGATGTGTAATCTTTGGGGTGGAGCAGAGGGGTAAGGAAAGGAGATTTTGGGAACGCAGGATAGTAATATGAAAAGGAGGAGTAGAGACGGCATATTTAAAGATAGGTGGAGTGGGACTCAGTCTTGTAAGAGATGTTTCCCAGGGTGTTTGCTTGCAGTTCATCCAGCGTGCAGTAGAGTTCTTTGCTGTATCTTCCTGCTGCTTGAGTTAACCTGCTTTAGTTCAACTGCTGTGTGCAACTGCTGCTGATTTGCACTCCTGCAAAAACCGCACCCACACACACAAAACTGTGACAGTGTGACAGCTCGTGAGGAGAGAAATACAGATAACCATAATTTCCCTATTTACATGCGATCAGCTGTGATTGGACACAGCTGATTACATGACCGAGCCAACATCTTTGGCTCTTTCCATCGAGCGGTGATACGCTGTGTCCAAGGGCCACAGCGCACCACTGATCGCCACGCTACACGCCACCGGAGCCGTGCATGCACGGTTAGAGTGGGAGGACGTCATATGATGTCCTCCCAGAACGAGAGAACCACCTTGCACCAGTCATTAGCTTATATGGCGGGCGGGAGGCAGTTAATAAAATGGCTGGTATGGCCCTTTTAAAACCCAAAGTGGGTCTGTATTGTCTGTCTTTGAGGGGAGGGGGGGTCACAAGTGGATGTTGACCTTAGTCATGTGAATATTGCAGCATATGGACTTCCTAATGGCTCCCTGTGGAGTCCACTCTCTGCTGGGGAGACAATCAGAGCATAAAAGCTCAAACAATTGTATAGAAATCCATACATGATCTGATAAAAGTACAGAATGCACTCAAGCCTTATTATAGGAATGAAGAATCCAGCTCTGATGATTATCAGTAATGATCATTATTGTAGAAAGGGATATATCAACACTTTGGAAAATCTCTTTGTGACCAATAGCCATTCATACCCTTTGCAATAGAAAAATGGCAGAGAATGATTAAAAAAAAAGAACAAATCTTTCTACGTCCTTATAAGAGGAACTTCTGTTTGTTGAAGCAGGACGGAGCATCAGATTTTCATGGCATGTGATTCTTTAAAGGGCTGGCAGATGACTTGTCTCATGTCATTCTCAGTGACACATCTGTCCATTTCTCTATATGTGAATAATTATTGAAATCTGTCAGCACTAGACCTTTACTTCTATTTCAATAGGAAATGTATGCAAGTTCAATTTTTTAATTTATATGCCTAGACACATCCAACAATCAACTGATCATTTCTTTCTAATTGGAAAGGCAGTGTGTAATTACAGTCACTTTCTTTGAGTTACTTAGGGCATACTTATGTAATAATAATATTAAATTAGTTTATTTTTTAATTCTAAGAGAGGGTTTATTTAGAACAGGCAAGCCTATTGCAGATAATTTAATGTTCTATAACTTTGGAGAGTAACTCAACTTGTGTTAAGAAATAAAGAATCTTTTTTGGGTGATCAATGTTCATTACAAGGATTTTTAACAAACTTTATTGCAGATTTATAGCTTTTGTTTCTCTAAAGAAATATTTTATTGACTCTGTCCTTTGCAGACTAATGCAGGCCATACATGAGTCGCATTCCGAACACATTTTTTTCTTAGATAATCAAAACTTTAGTGCATTTTGTAATCCGATGGTGCCACCGTTGATTTCTAAATTCAACCAATCAAGCCTTTCATTTCACCTCATGTTGCTACAGAAAAGAATTTTCATGGCCTGGAATCTTCTTTTTTTTCCAGGTCACAGCTGATGCTCATTTCTTTTTCAATTACGTTTCTCACATGATTCTTCCATCATTGATTAGAAATGTGTTCCTTTTTAAAAAGATATGCAGCATGCCTGATCACTCAAATTCAATGGTTGCTCAAAAATAGGCCATTGCTGGGGCCCACTAATGGTGAGAAATTCAAATGAAAATTATTAGAAAAGATTTTATAAAGAAAATTATTTTGTGATTCGACCCATGTATGGTCTGCATAATTCTGAATGGAAGAGTTTGGTTCATTATAATTATCTGGAGTACTCTCAGTGTTCTGGTGAGAAAAGCTGTAGTGTTTGCATCTCCTTAACATATTTAAATCTTGGGGAACAACTCACTAGGATTGAAATTCACACATACACACAGATATATATCTATTTATATATATATATATCTTTTGAATAATTATTTTCAGGTATGCTATGTGAATAGGAACATAAATACAGTGGAGTGTTCTCACATTTGTTTGCTAAAGTGGAATTGTTGTGATCCCTTATATATACCCGGTGAAGTGACTGGTCTCAGGTGATACACAAAGATGAAACAGATCCTTCTACATAGGTTGTACCTGTTTATCTATAGCCGTCTTTCCCCTACATCCATTGAAAGTGTAGAATTTACACAGCTCTGAAAAAACCAGTTGGGCAGACAGCTGATGTTGGGTGAAGAGAGCTCTGAGAGCTGATTGAAAGGAAGGGCCACATAACCCTTCACAGCTCACAGGAACAGAGCTGAGGCTGTCAATCACAGGCTGTGCCCTCCCCTGTCACCATTTTTCTCTTAGTGTCAGGAAAGATTAAGGTTTTAAGGCAAACAATGAACTTTCTGACTAACTTGATTATTTAAAAAAAGAATGGAAATGAAGTAAAGATGCATTTTGTAAATACTAAAAAAAAAAAAAAAGTGTTGGCTACAGTTGTAATTTTGATTTTGTGTATCTGTTTTTTTTTAAATGCTGCACATTGTAATTTTAATAAATAGGCTTCTTACCTGATAATTGCACTTTAAAACACAGGTATTTATTTTCCTTGCTACTGAACTAGCCTACATTGTGTTGATCATGCCTCTAGCATAAATCCTTAATGTTTGATGTTGTTACCCACTTTAGTACCAGGCACTT